TCTGTTCCCTAGAGAGATTAGCTCAGGTTTCCCGGCTCAGGGCTGAAGGCTGGGTGACCTCCGTGTACCCAGAGTAGAGTCTGCATTAGTGGGTCGCCTGAAGGATCAGCCCCGGACATTTAACCTTCCCTTTGAACACTCCCCACCCCCACCTGCCGGCAGCTAGATAGAGGAAAGGAAGTTGGTGCCTCGCTTTGCGTCTCTCTGAGGACGATGCTGTCCCTAAGAGGGTAGAAATATGACCTTGGAATCCAAAGGGAGTCTCCTGCAGACAGTGGCCACCAAGGTGAAGCCCTTCAATGCCCCTTCTCCATTCCTAAGACCTCACTGGCTCCCAGCTGTCCCTACGGACAACCAACCTCATTCATCAGCCCCAAACTTTCCGGTCAAGGCTTTGAGGCAGTCCTAGCTTTCTTTTGCAGCCCAACTCTGTTCCCGCCTCACTTGTCCCTAATTTCCCATGTCCCTAGATGTCTAAGGTAGTGGCCAGAATTCTAGGCTGCTGGGGCCTGCTCCCCAGAGAGCTGGTCGTAGCCCTCATTCGCATTCGGAAGAAAGCAAGCCAAGTCCCGAACCCATGGCCGGCCGCGCGCAGAGAGAGGATCCAGGCGGTCAACTTCCTGAGGCAGGACCAGGACCCGCGAGGGCGAGGATCCTGGCCCCGCGGCCAACCCAGCCGGCATCTGCCGTCGGGTTGGGGCGGAGAAGTCCCATCATCTTGCTGCCAGCCAGGCTAACTTAGCTCCATTGATCCTGGAAAGGGGAAGCCGAGTCCTTCCCAGTCATCCTCGCAGGGGCAGGGCAGAGAAGCTGCCTGCAGGGCCCCTCTCCTGGCGAGAGTCCCTCTCACTTGGAGCAAAGGAAGCTCTCCGCCACGACTCCCCTTCTTTTGCCCACGGTGGGGCACCCAAGCAGTTTACAAGGAGGGGAGGAAAGGCAGGTGGGCAACAAGCTGCTCTTGGTCCGGGTGCCAGAGGGAGCCCCATTTGTCCTCCTTGCCCCCCCCTCCCTGGGAAGAAAAGATGGCCTCATCCCCAGCGCTGCCCCTCCGCGGAAGGGCCCCCTCCTCCCCTCAGTGTCAATGGGGTGGGGCCTATACTCACGGTTGGGGGGCTAATGAGGGAGGGGATGGGGAGAAAGTCTAGCTGGGGCCTCTTTCCCCAGTGGGGTTTGGGTGCCAATGGTCCCGGCTAAGGGCGCTTGCTACCCAGCAGCTGGCGGTACAGGTCCCGTCTATCTGCCCCCTGGACTCAGGCACTTACCCTGCTCCACCTGTTGCCAGGATCGCCTCATTTCTGCACATCACTTTGGGGTGGCCGAGGGGGAACCACAAACCCCTCCAAGCCTCTCTTTTGTGGTTCCAGCGAGGCGGTCATCCTTCATTTCTCCTTTTCCAGCTTTCGGGAAGCAGTTAGGGAATGTATGATGAAGCAGAAATGAGCCGTCAGGATGATATTTTAATGGCTTATATGTCACGTTGGTGCATGTGGCTTTGAACTGGAGCCGCTTGCGTTTCCTGCAGAGAGCGCCGCAAATCCCACTTGATAACTTCTACAACCCACAACTTTTTTTTTTTTTCCTCACATTCACTCTTACCCTGTATATTTGGAAGCGTTTCCTAAAAATACCCTCTTGTCAACGTCCCCCTTGGATTTTCCACGGACTGGAGAGAGAAGACTGACTTTTCTTTTTTGAAGAATTACTTTCCCGCTCCCCCTCCCAACAGCTACCATTCCCCCTCAGGTCCCCTCCCTTGTTTTTTTTTTTTTTTTTTCCTGAACGGCAGGCGAGGTGGGTTCAATATTTGTTCTCCCTAGTGAGAGCACTACAGCCTCTAGAGAAAACTTCTCCTTGCAAATAAGGTTTTTACAATTGCAGTGGAGGCAAGATTCAACTTCCCTTTGTAGGCAGCAGAAAAGATTGAGTGGTTTTGGTATATCTTTTTGAACAAACTGTATGATAGTTTGTTTTTTGTTTTTTGGGTTTTTTTGTTTGTTTTTTTGTTTTCTTTTGTTTTGAAAAACCACCCCTCAAGCCTTAGCCCTTTCCTTCCATTCCCCATACCGGTTCCACTCAAAGTTGGCGGGGAATGCGGGGCTGCTATACTCAGACTTGTTGCTGGAGACAGAACATGTGATTTTTTCTTCTTTCTCAAATTTCTGTTTCCCAGCCCAATAAGTGCAAATGCTGGCCAGGTCTCTTCAGACACCGGGAAACCATCCCAGATACACAAGTCGAGTTTTGAGCTTCGAGAGCCCAGGGAAAGGGCAACTAAGCTCGCCAACACCAAGCGAGAATCTAGTCGATGAAAAGACCAGAAAATTAAAAAGGCAAGGAGAGGCCGACGCTGACCTTGCCTTCCTCCAGCCGGTGCGACCAGCGCCGGGGACTGGGAAAAAAAAAATATTCATTTTCATTTTCCTCTTGCCTGGGCACTGGTGAGTTTCCTAACAGGGCCGCCAGTGAAAAGATGAGTTGAGGTTTCTTTGTCTGAGAAGAGTTTAGGGCTCTGATTCAGCTGCAAAGAAGCCAAATGAAGTTAGAAACAAAGGGCAAATTGAAGGATTCCGACTCTTGGCTTTTTGTGTTTTCCTTACTAGAAAATAATTAGACCTAATGAATATGCAGACGCTTCAGCTAAACCCTCGGCCGGGGCTGTTGGGTTTTAAACAGAGCCGCGAGAAATGCAACCTTCATTCCCCAACCCCCCGCATCTGCGTGCATTTTTTGAAATGCATAAATGTTGCTCGCCTTAATTGATTGAGTCACAGGGATTTTTTTTCCTGCTTTTAAGTGCCATACTCCTCTACCTTTCAACAATCATTTTAATATATAGTCAATGGCTCTTTGTGGACGGGACAAAAAGCAACTAGGCGCAGTTGTTGAATAGACTTTGCGCTGGGCAAAGACAGGTTAATCGAGGGCCGCATCGCGAAAACAAGCGAGTGTTGTATGTTTGCACTGAATCCAAATGTCTGCATTTTCCTAACTAAATCAAAGGGAGTGTTATTTCTTTTTCTGCTCACTCATCTGAAGGTAAGTAAATTTTCTCTGGCGATCAAAAGCCTGGTCGGCAACAAAGACCGCGCCCGCTTTTTCCACCGTCCTGGTGTGGCGAGTTGCGGAATTTCAATAACTGTGACAAGGGTGACTGATTTGTGAACCAGAAAAGGTTTGAATGTCACAAAATTTACATTGGTCCTATCTATTGGGGATTTAAATACCAAAAAAGTATTCGGGGATTTCTAGAGAGCTTTGGGCAGTATTGAAGAACAATGGCGCATTGGGAAATTTACAGTTTTACCTGAATGAAAGGGGCCTTGGTTGGGAACAGGAGTGCAGAGGGAGGGGGTTAGCGGGGGCAGACCAGGGAGACTAGGGAAAAGGAAGAAAAAAGAAGAAGAACACTGGAGAGAAAGATAAAAAAACAACTCGGCAACAATGTTTCCAATTTGCCACACACACACAAAATGCCACCTCAACAACCTGGAAAGTTAAGAGCTCTCTTCCACCTGTGCTTTTTTTTGGGGGGGGAAGGGGAGCACAGGAAGCCTAATCGATTTGATAAAGATGAGAAAATCGAGGCAACCGATTACCCTGAGAAATCACATTTCGTGTAAATAGATAGCCGAGTGCCCGTGTGCTACCGAGATCTTAAATTATGAACAGGAGGGGGACGAGGCAAGAGGGAAGCAAACTTCAAAAGGAGCAAATAACAAAAGCCTCCTTTTGCTGCCCTTGAAGGGGTTGGGGAGGAGAGGGGAGAAGAAAGAAAAGAAAGTTGCTGAATCGGGACATTCTGGAAGTGCCTGTGTTTACCAGCCCCATCCCCACCTCCTACTCTCGGAGAAGCCCCAAGTAGCTAAATCGCTCAGCTAAAAGCAGGTCTGAGGAAGGACAAGATAGAGAAAAAAAGAGAGATGATAGAAATAGTGAGAGGGAGTGGGAGAAGGAGAGGGAATGGGAGAGAGAGAGAGGGGATAAAAAGAGAGAAAGAGTGTATATGACTGCGAGAAGGAAAAGGAATCGTGGCAAAACAATTTTTCCATGAGAAGAGGGAAAAAATTTGGCTAAAAAAAAAAGTTGCTACTCCTGGCAGCCCTGTTTGTCAAAAGGGGATGTCAAGCGCTTTACAATACCTGGGATTGATGAGGCGGGCGGGCCAATGAACGGCGCGCGGCGCCTCGGCGCGCCCTCCGTTGGCGCGGCGGCTGCAGGCGGGGGGAGTGCGGGCACACCAATGGGCGCCCGCGTCAGCAGCACGTGACACCTCCCCCTGCTCCCATTCATCAAGGGGGGGACGGTGTCGTCCTTTCAATTCATTTATCTGCAGGAATGATTGCTGCTATCAGTCTCGCGCTCACCGCCCGGCTGAGGAGGTGAAAGTTTCTCCCCAGGAAGATAAACCGCAAAAGACAATATTGTGCATGATTTGCGCCTTTTCTTTGGCTTTTTCTTTCTTTCTTTTTTCTCCCCCCCCTTTTTTTTCCGCAAAAAGCAGAGGGGGAAAAAGGAGAGTGAAGGAGCGAGAAGGCGAGCCTGAGAGAAAGGAGAGAGAGAGAGAGAAAAGAAAGGGCGAGGGGCTAGTGGAGAAGTAAGGAGGGGCATACGGCGCGAGGCGGAGAAAGGGCGAGTAGTCGTGGCTCCGGCGCTCACATTCCTCTATGCTACAAATCCGGGAGGAAGTTTTTTTTGGGGGGGCTGAGATGCTCCATGCCTTTCCCTGGGCAGCCTTGACGCAGGGTCCTCTCGGCAGAGACTGAGCGGCGAGAAAGTGCGAGCCCGGCCGGCGGGGTCTTCTTGGCGGGCGCCGGAGCCCGCCTTGCTTGCGGCCCGGAGCGGTCCGGCTTCCCCGCGCTTGGCCAGGCGGGCGTCCCGGCGCGTCGCGCCGCTGCCTGCGGGCTAGGACTTCGCGAGGTGGGTCGACTCCTCCTCCCTCCTCTTCTTCTTCTTCCTCTTCCTCCGCCTCCCGTTCCTCCTCCTCCTCCTCCTCCTCCTGATTTTCCCTCCTCGGCGGGCGAGGGTGGGGGGGGCGGGGGAGGCCGGGGCTCGCCCCGAGCAGCCACGATGCTCCTGGACGCCGGCCCCCAGTACCCCGCGATCGGCGTGACCACCTTTGGCGCGTCCCGCCACCACTCGGCGGGCGACGTGGCCGAGCGCGACGTGGGCCTGGGCATCAACCCGTTCGCCGACGGCATGGGCGCCTTCAAGCTCAACCCCAGCTCTCACGAGCTGGCCTCCGCCGGCCAGACGGCCTTCACGTCGCAGGCGCCCGGCTATGCGGCTGCCGCGGCCCTGGGCCATCACCACCACCCGGGCCACGTCGGCTCCTATTCGAGCGCAGCTTTCAACTCCACGCGGGACTTTCTGTTCCGTAACCGGGGCTTTGGCGACGCGGCAGCGGCAGCCAGCGCTCAGCACAGTCTGTTCGCTGCTTCAGCCGGAGGCTTCGGGGGCCCACACGGTCACACGGACGCTGCGGGCCACCTCCTCTTCCCCGGCCTTCACGAGCAGGCGGCGGGCCACGCGTCGCCCAACGTGGTAAACGGGCAGATGAGGCTTGGCTTCTCCGGGGACATGTACCCGCGGCCGGAACAGTACGGCCAGGTGACCAGCCCGCGTTCGGAGCATTATGCCGCGCCGCAGCTGCACGGTTACGGGCCCATGAACGTGAACATGGCCGCGCATCACGGCGCTGGCGCCTTCTTCCGTTACATGCGCCAACCCATCAAGCAGGAGCTCATCTGCAAGTGGATCGAGCCCGAGCAGCTGGCCAACCCCAAAAAGTCGTGCAACAAAACTTTCAGCACCATGCACGAGCTGGTCACGCACGTCACCGTGGAGCACGTCGGCGGACCTGAGCAGAGTAACCACATCTGCTTTTGGGAGGAGTGTCCGCGCGAGGGCAAGCCCTTCAAAGCCAAATACAAACTGGTCAACCACATCCGCGTGCACACGGGCGAGAAGCCCTTCCCCTGCCCCTTTCCTGGCTGCGGCAAGGTCTTCGCGCGTTCTGAGAACTTAAAGATCCACAAAAGGACGCACACAGGTACGAAACCGCTGTTCTTGAACCCCCACCCTCCCCATCCTGGGCCTGGGACCCGAAATCCAAAAGTCAGTGGCCGGGGCGCACAAACCGGGCCGCGGTTGGGTCTGGGCGTCAGGTTCCAGCAGGCAGGCAGTGGAAGTGTGCGCTGGTGTTTAGTTTGAGGCTTGAAATTATGAAGAGGTATAGAGAAGAAAGGCCAAGAGGTATCTAGGAATATAGATTTTTAAATGAGGACTAAAAAAGGCTGGGAGAGCAGAGAGACAAACCCAGCTTTGTGGAGCCCTTGGTGTACGCGAAGCCAGGACAGGTGGCCGGTTCTCCGCGGTGGCGGAGGCGCCAGCAAGTCCAGCTGCAGACAAATCTAAACATTTGCTTCCGGCTAACATCTTTCTCTAGACACCTTAGTGAAAATGTTGTCAAATGAAAGAGCTAAGGAAATTGGAAGAGATAGGATGGAGGCGCCGAGAAAGAAACAAAACCCGAAAGGGTGGGGGGAGTATTGAAAGCAAGTAAGTTGGGCCTGAGGAGGCTTTTGAAGGCTTATGCATATTTAAAGAGCCCAATTTTAGTAGTGACTTGTATTTGAGTAAGCTTGAAGAGTTGAGAGAGTCGACAGAAGGCGGAGAAGTCTTTTTTCTCAATTAGATTTTATGAGATAGTTTTCAAAACACCGAACACCCTGCATTAGCCTTTAAAAACGAAGAGACCGGCCAGGACCACTTAAAAGTTCGCGGCGAGCTCAAGGCTGTGGTCTGAGTCGGGCAGGCCATTCCGGGCCCCTAGCGCCAACAAGGCCGGGAATCCTGTCTGCTTCCCTATTCTGGTTTGCCTGGGTGATTTCTGTGAACCGCGTTTGGAACTTGGGGTTTAATGCCAGAGTGAACGAAGAATTTGCGGCGCCGAGCTCTCGGCCCAGATTACCTTATAAAATGTGAGTGTGTGTAGGGGGTGGGGTGGGGTGGAGGAGCGACGAGGGGGGTGCGGAGCGTCGGGGAGGGGGTAGGGGGAGGAGAGAAGAGCAAAACAGCAGGAGAATCTGCTGGCAGTGTGAAAATTAGAAAGCAAGAACTAGGTAGAAGCCGCCCGAAGTCGTCTGTGTAGCCCCGGGCAGAAAAACCAGCAGCCAGACCTGCTGCCACTCTGGGATCTAGAAAAACTACCACCACTGATAATAATAATAATAAAAAAATTAAATCTGGATCTAATTGGATTAGAAGTTAAAATAGCTCAGATATTTATAATTCCCCTGCAGATACAAGACTTTGTTAAAGACTCGGGTTTTTGAACTTGGAAAGTACTAACACTGAGCTGCTGCCTTTTTATTTTGTTTTGATTTTTATCATTGTTTAAAATTTTAAAAAACAGCCGCAGGATTTGTTGCAATCAGACTTCTCTCTTTCTTGCCTTTCGCACCAGGGGAGAAGCCCTTCAAGTGCGAGTTCGAAGGCTGCGACCGACGCTTTGCCAATAGCAGCGACCGCAAGAAGCACATGCACGTGCACACGAGCGACAAGCCCTATCTTTGCAAGATGTGCGACAAGTCCTACACGCACCCCAGCTCGCTGCGCAAACACATGAAGGTAATCGCCGCGCTCTCGCTGGCCGCCTTTGAGCCGGGACTCCCTCCGCTCTTCGGCCAGGGCCGGGCGGCGAGTGGCAGCCGGGTGGTGGAAGGAACTGGCGGAGGCAGAAAGGCAACGGTTACGCTTTGCTGAGTGCGGCTGGGCAGGGAGGGTGGGAGCTGGAAAGGGGAATGAGGGCATCCTAAGTTTACTGTTTAATAATAAAAGTAAAAAGAAAGGGGCAGGCGACCGGAATTTGGCCCAGGTAGGGAGCTAGCTAGGGCTGTACCAGCGGGTTGACGGTGCCGAAGCTGCCGCCATTGTAGCTGGCAGCGTTGGCAGAAGTGTGGGGCTCTTGCACACAGGCCTGAGCGTTTGCTTACCTAAAGCTGAGCAAGCAAAGTACAGCGGCTGCAGGAGGGACCGTCGCAGGCTCCTACCTCAAATCCAGCCTCCCCCTTCCCAGATCGGTTTTTCTTTTGTGGGTCCCGGGGGGCGCTGTCCCTCCCTGGAGCACGGCCTTTGCTGGGCGGAGGTGGGCAGTCAAACCTAAGTCCGGCGGGTCAGGCCTCCCATGAGTTCAAGGGGATTCAGCGCTGTGTGGGGAGGCGGCACGCGGCCTTCACCCGTCCTAGGCGGCTGCCCCGCGGGCTCTTTATCTCTGTAAAAACTCGACTTTATTCCCGCAGGTCCACGAATCCTCCTCGCAGGGCTCACAGCCTTCGCCCGCAGCCAGCTCCGGCTACGAGTCCTCCACGCCGCCCACCATCGTGTCTCCCTCCACAGAAAACCCGACCACCAGCTCCCTGTCGCCCTCCTCCTCCGCAGTCCACCACACAGCCGGCCACAGCGCGCTCTCTTCCAATTTTAATGAATGGTACGTTTAAAATCAGAAACAAAACACCGAACAAAACCCTATTTAAGAGACTGAACACATACGTACACAAAATATTACTGAATGAACCCTGCGAATCAACACAGCCCCCTACCCCTCCCCCGCCCCAGACACCGCAGTCCTATTTTTTTTTAAACCTGCCAATAGACCCAGGACCGAGTAAGAGAAAGAAAGCCCCAAACCTTTAATTTTTTTCCTTTTTTCTTTCTTTTCATTCCTTTTTCTTTCTTTTTCCTTTTTTTCTTTTGTGGTTTTTTTTTTTTTTTTGGCAAAGGTTTGGTAGCCAAGGGGCGGGAGGGTGGTCGAGGAGAAGGCGGCCGCCTGACCGAGTGCTGCCAACCCCGACCGAGGGCCAGTTTCTCGTCGGAATCGAACAGGCCCTCTGGGCTTCCGTTCTGTTTGTTTGTTTTTGTTTTACTTTGCATTCTTGTAAATACAGAATTATTAGCTTAAAACTGTACTGTTGGATTCTGTAAATAGTTATATCTCGGTTGGAGCGGGCGGGTGGGTTCGTGGCGTTGTGGTCTTTGCATTGGGGGAGGGGGGAGGGGCCGGGCGGGCGGGGGAGGGGGAAGGGAGGGGGGTGGGCGGCCGAAAGCCAACTGTTTGTACTGAATGGCAAGAATGTTCTAGTAAATGTGTACCAAAATGTGAATTACTTTGTACGATTACAGTCTCCACGTCGACCTAACAGAATATTATTGGTATTAATGTGCTTTTTTTTTTTTGTATAAAGTGCAAACATTTCTCGTCCCAAAGTCTAAGTACTTTAGTGCAGTAAAATGTTGTTTCACGTCCTGTCAAGAATTCGTATAGTACGAGCCTGGATCTGCGTGTCAAACTGTTCCATTTGTTTATGTAAAGTGATATTAAAGAAGATATAAACTATAACTGTCCGTTGCTTTTGGCAAAAGATACAACCACATAATGTATATAATTCCTAGTTTCCATATTTATCCGCATGTAAAGGGCCGGTTTATTCATGTTACAGCTATTCAATATTTATGGTTAGAAAAACTCGTATGTACACTTTAGTTTCCAGAACTGTTTGGTAACCTTTCGTACCTTATTAAAGATTCTTAAATCTCAGTGATTGTGGTAGGAATTTCTTCTTCACCCCCAGCAACCTGCTGCCTCTTCGGCCAGCTTTAGTGGGTCTCTAGAAAATCTTTCCAGTCTCCCTCGCCTTCCCTTTCTGTCATCGCAGGTCCTATAAACGTGATAAATGAACGCTACCCTGCTGGCTCTCCGAGAGGGTGTAATTAGTATTTATATCAAAATTTATGAAACAAATTTTCGGCCGCTGTATAATTTAAATGACCTTTGCAGACGTACAATAACAACCATAAAAATAACAGAAATAGATTGCACAGGCGACATCAATATTAATGTAGGTGAATTGTCAGAAGCTCAGGGGCTCACTCTGCAGTGTTGCAAATGAACTTGAAGCAGAGGGTTCCGCTGCCCCCCAAATTAAATTCCCCTGGCTGAAACCGAGTTGCAGATTTACAATATCATATTTTAAATTGCTGTCTTCAATTAAACCATTTATGGCCATAACTAATTTTCAGGATGTTGATGCATGGTTTTACAGACCTTCCTTCTTTGTACAAAAGTAAACGCCCATAAAGCGTTTTACTTATATTTCTTCAAATGTGATGCTAATTTAAATTAATTACTTCCTATGATATGTATTATTCCTATAATTTTGCCACTGTTATTAGTTCTTTCAAAAATATATCTAGGGAAGAGAATTATTTTATGTAATTTGATTATCTTTCTATCTCTTTTATTTATTTCTCATTTTCTTAAGAAATTCGTTCCATTGGCTGGCGTTGATACAGTAAATTTGTAAATGAGGAGACAATATAAAAAATCTAAATTACTTGTGCTTAATGACTGTAGCAGAACGCCTTTTCTCTAAATCAGATTGTCTTTCTTGCAGTTTAGTTTGATAGATTTGCAAGCGATGCTGCTCCTTCGAAGTTAGCTGCGCTGGTAGGAACGCGAGCTTCTTTGTCTCTGGTTGTAGCTTGCATGATCGCCCCATTAAGCAGACAACGTAGGGGAGATCACAGATCAGGGCCTTGGCTGTAGCTGCAAGGGTGTGGATGTGTCAGAGCAGGAGGCAGAAACTGACCTCAGTGTGGACAAGGACGAACCTGGACCTGCTTTTTTAATATACTATGTGTGTTCAGGAAATCATAGGCCATACTGACTCTGAGAAGAAAAGTAAGAGAGGGAAAACCCTGCAAAAGTATGAGAACCCCTTACGATATTGACATCTATTTCAAAGAGACATTAATTTTTCAGAGTATATCATTGGCCAATTACAAAATCAAAATATTAATTCTCTTTAAAAATCCTTTGTTGATATGTCTTCATCTCTTGCCATTTGTATTTGTCACTTTTGGCCAACAAAGTTTTATTGGTAAAGGAGGGGATTTGCTGCATTTTATGTAACACATGAAAAACTGGAGATGGTGGTGTTTAACTTTTTAAAAAATACTATTGTGATTATAAGAGTAAATATCCACCTTTCATGAAAAGAGCGCCACCTTGCAAGGTTTGGCGAGATTTAAGGAAGTTGAACACCTAAACGAGAAATGCTGCTAGCTCCTAAAATTTGTGAGACCAAAAGCTGTCCTCAATTGTCTTTGGAGGTTTCAGATTGATTAATAGTGTAGTATTTGACATGACACTAGACATTAGGCCCAATAATTAAAAAAAAAAGAGGAATAAGGATAGTTCCATCTCTCTAGGAAAGAAAGATAAACACCTCAATTAATAATCCTTCCCCTTCCCATAGAGATCAGAATGTCTGGGATCCTGACATGAGTATTTATGACAATAATAATCATAATAATAACAACAGTATTTTTTAACTTTGTTAGTACATTCAAGAAGATAGTAAATGAGTGCATTTTTTTCTTTGACCATTCTTAAAAGCAGTTTACTTCAAATTTGGAAATATAAATGTGTCATTATTTGTTATGTTTCTGGTGATTTTTTAACTTTAATATCATTGTATAGTAATTAAATATACTATGATCTATGATTTAAGTAGGATATTTTAAATATAAATTTTAGGGGTAAATATTTACTTCAAAACTACTTCACATTTAAAACATTTTTTTGTTTTGGCATTGAAGCCAAATAATTTTTTAAAAAACCATTTGAGGAATACTGTGTGTGTTTGTGAATAATCTCACTCACAGGAAAGGAACTTTTACAGTAGAAGACAATATTTATGCCAATGCCCCTTATGCATTCTCTTCTCCAACACCCACCACAAAGAAAAAGTCATTAATGATGTAGGTCGCTTAAAATAATGCTTCAAACTTAAATGTAGTCTATTATTTTGCTGGTACCTTTAATGTCTGCTTCTTGAGATGTATTCTTCATACTTTTCTTCATGGGCTATTAGGTTTTGAAATACATGAATGTGAACAGCGAGATATATTGTTAGACCCTATTTAGCAGGAGCTGAATATGCTGCAAATGGCTGGTTTCTGTGTGTAGCTGTGGATTTTGGTTTAGGCAGACAGCCATCCTGATTCATATTTCCACTGTATTGTATTCTGGATACTATCAAGTGATTAGAACAACCGACAAGTTATTAAAAAGTTATATTGTATCAACAAAAAATGCCTAAGTACAAGCATATTTGAGAAATGAAGAGAAATGAGTTGTGATATGTGTGTGTGTACATTTACAGAGTAAGCATATAAATATACAAGCACCATTTATATGGGGGTTAAGTAATTTTCAAACATTTCAGATCCTTTGTTTTCTTCTTCAAAAGCTACCCCCAACTGCTTTAAGCATTTGCAGCTGATGATTTTGATTTTTTAAAGTCAAGCATTCAAGTTAACCTTTAAGAAGCAAACCACCTCCAAAAGAAAGATGTAACCTTTCAATTGGCCCATATGCTTATCATTTTTTTTTTTTTTTTGCTTTAGCTGACAATGAAAATAGCACTAACCTTCTTTGGTGATGGGCCTGGCATTTAGATGTTTTTATTTGTTGATTGTGAAGTTTTCTCAGAACTTTTAAAGGATTGGCAACAGAACTACACTCCCCACCTCTGAAACCTTCCAGACATCCCCTTTTTGAGGCCAAGATATAGTAAGTGTGTTGGACCCCTTGTGAATCAGTGCTGGTGTAGTTAGTACCTAAACATACTTCTTTCCAGGAGGCAGCTTGGAGAAGGCCCTGGTCCTTAAAGAGCAGCGTTAGTTTAAGATGGGTTGGGGAGAAACTGTATATGGTCTGGCAAACTCCAAAGGAAGACACTGAGCTTGTACTTTTGATACTTGTGAACTATATATGAAACCATCAGATTTCAGACATTCCCAATTCACATTTCTTTTTTTTTTAATGTGAAATACTAATTACGAATTTATTTCCTCCTCTCTAGGTACAGAGTTCTTGCCTCCTCCTAGTATCAGTGTAGTTCTTAGAACTGTGTGTTCATATTAGGGGAAAAAAAAGTGTTTTCATGAAGATGGTCACAGTTGATATCACTCTCTGGTTTTAGAATTCTTGAAAATAGAGTGGCAATGAAAAGATGTATCCCATCTATGCCAGTTAACCACTAAAGGTTCACATTACTCATGATACTCTCAGCTATTTACAACCTCAGTCACCATCAGTAATATGTACTCATTCAAACTGGTTACATATGGAAAGTAATGCTTTATAAGGGTAACTATACAGCAATCTATTTTTTTTTCAAGTGACAATCACTAGTTTGGGGGAAGAAATAAGAAACATGTTAATAACTTCCTATGACATGTCACATTTGAGTCTTTTCTTCGAAGTTTTTGCAAATATAATGGTGTAATATACACAGAGAATGGGCAATATTCTCCATTAACCTTTGCAAGACTGGTTGTTCCAGAGTCTCTTCTTGAGCAAGAGGAAACAAGATCAAGCCAAACCAGGGGCTATTTTTACCATGCAAGCTGAATTCTGGCATTAGTTCCTAATGTTTATTTCCACTTTAGAGCAAGGAGCTAGAACAGTATGATGCTATTCCAATTGATGCTATAATGGAAGTGTTTTTTTTTTTTTTAAGAATATAAAGT